CGTGCCCCGACAGCAGCTCGGCTGGCAGGATTCTGCAAGTCACACCCACGAGCTCTGAGCATTCCAGGTGAGCTTCGATTTCTGGCCCAACGCAAGAGCCAGGCTCAAGGTGATCAAGCGCGGCTGGAGAGGAGATGCAATACGATCCGTTCTCCAGTTGCAGCTTTTTTCCTCCTCTACCCTTGCCACGGAGGCCTGACAAACAGGGCCATGAATCAGCAGTGGGGGTGAGGGTGCTGCAGCTGCAGGGCGTTTTTACCCCGATGCCACAAATCCCAGCAAAGACAACACAGTTCAGCATTCACTCATAAAACTTCTAAATCACATTGACAGATTTAACGAGACAAACCACAAGACCAGCAACGCTGAACCAGATGTTCCTTGAGGTCCCTTCCAACCTGGTAGTCTAAGACACAGTCCTCCAGGGGTGCAACCATGTTATACCTACTTGTGTAAAAACTGCTTCTCTGCCAGGATTTCTCTCCCTGTTTTTTTTTTCCTTGTTTACCCCAAAAAATCTTTTGGAAGGTCCAATGAATCCCCTCTGGATTGGGCTGGTTTATCAAAGAGAGTGGGTGACCCAAACATTCAGCTAAAACCTCTTTCATTGCCTTTGGTGGGGCCTGGGCATCCTTCAACACATGAGGTGGCTTTTGAGAGCACAACCCAAAGGTTTTTACTACAAAGTACCTGATGCACAAACTCCTGAGAACAATTCCCCTAATTCTGACTCCTTGCTTCTAAGAACTACTACCAGCCTCACAGCTTTTACCAGTGGCCAGCAGCAGCAGCAGAGACAACAGTAACAGCAGGATTACTTTATTTTTGGTTTGATTAATGGGTTAATTTGATTCTCAGCCCATTTTTCTGGCCCCAATATTTGCCCACATATTTACTCTCATGTGGCCAGTACCCCAGTGTTTGCAAACACTGCTAAACCATTCAGCTCTGCTCATCTTTTCAAGTAGGATAAATGTAGGTCTGTGCAGCCCAGGAAGGGCAGATAGAGATGCCAAGTGCCTAGAACACATGGAAATGTGCCCATTTCAGCCAGTTGTCTAAACTGGAGCCAAAAAAAAAAAAACTTAAAAAAAAAATCAGCTTCACACTTCTGGCCAGCTACCCACCTGCAAGATCATAGTATTCACAGATTCAGAACAAAAGGCCTCGACAGCCTCACCAAAAAAACCTCAAAAAACCAACCACAAAACAAACCCAACCCAAAACAACACCTTGCTAAAAGCTATTTTAAAAAACCAACAGCAATAGCAATGTTCATGTGTCAGAACAACTTGTAGTCATCATGCAAACCAGAAGCCTGAAGGGACACACCCTCAGTTTTCCAGACAATCAAACTGCTGTTTCATCCATGGATTACCTCTGCCCCACACCTGCCATGGCTACAGCCACAAACTCCTGTAACAAACACACACACCACCAATAACAGGCCAAAAGACACTGCAACACTGGCAATATCTAAGGCCCTACCTTAAGGAACATGTTGGTACAGACTGTCCTGGAACCAGACAATGCCCACACTAAGAGGTGGTAGGAAACCAAAACTCATCTCTGTAGGCAATGCCCTTCTGGCCACAAATTGACTTTACTTACAGTCTGTGAATGAAACACACCAATCACATGTCCAGGGGGGTTTAATACCAGTGAGAAATCTTTCACACTGTTTCTATGCCTCAATGATTTAATTCTGATAGACACCCAGGCTCTGGTCTAGTGCATTCCAGCTCATGTCCCAGCAAGGAAGTGCTGACAAACACCCAAATCCTGGCCCTCCTCACTAGTTACATGCTACCTTGGTACAGCTTTCCTCAAGTCATGTCTCTCTGTGCTCATCCAAAGTTCAGCACAGCATCAAACCCGAATAGAGATCACACACACACACACACACACGTAACTGAGCTATTCTAGAACAGATTCCATAAGATTTTCATTCCCATCAAACATGTTTCGAAACCTGAGGTTCTCAGAAATTATTGCTCCTAATTTCAGACTGGTAAGTGCTTGGGTTGCCTGGCTTCTTGCCTTTTTTTTTTATGTTTTATACCAGCAATAAAATAGGCACTCTGATTTTCATTTTACAAATTAATATTGTAGCTTGGCTGATTTACAGCAGCACTGTACAAATGCAAGTCTTTCCCAAAATGTTACCTTTACACAGTTTATGCTGGGTCCACAGCTTACAAGTGGTATCATGAAACCTGCTCTGTCCTGGTTAAATGTTCCCTGAGTCCCTTTAAATCTATATAAAATTCACAGATAGTCACAATAGTTTTAGTCATTTCCCTCAGCTTCAGTTGTGATGCTGAGTCAGCCCCACAGGCCTCAGTTTTTAATTCAGGAAAAACTTCCATTGAGAAAATACTTCAGGATCTGGTCTGTACTAACATCAGTTTTTCCAGTGAAAGACAAAAATTGAAACACAGAAAAACACCATTTCAGTTTCCATTGCATTAAGGCTCAGGGGCTTTCTGGTTTTCTTTTTCCCATAGTTTTGTTTTCCAGTGCTTTCTTGAAAACTAATCTAAGCATCACATTTTAAAAGGCCTTCAAAGCTCACTAAATAAAAACATACCCAGTGGGTTCAGCTCAGTCCACATGAGCAAGAGGATCAGAATCCATCCCTGCAGCAAAAACAGCTGAGAAAACACACCAGTGCTGATAAACCTGATAACCCCTGGGGTGATTGGACACTGCCTGTATGTGGTGTATATTGACAGGCCTATTGGGCTTTGCTGACACAAAAAAATTGCACCAGTTTAATTACCTGGGCTAAATTAAACAGTACAAGTCCTTTAATGTGAGCACAAACATACAGGTGCAAAGAATATGCTGATTTTATCCAATCCTGCAGAAGAAAATCAAGCTTATATCAGGACAGTAATGCACTTATATATATACCTATGCTGGCTGCAGTAACAGAACTACTTCAGTATGAAAACTTCTTACATTCCAAGGCAAACCTTCCTGGAACCAGCTCTACATATAGATATGCCTGTATTGGCACCAATACAAATTAGGGGTGGACCTGCTGGAAAGCAGTTCTGAGGAACAGGAACTGGGAGTCCTGGTAGAGAGTAAATGATCCATGAGCCAGGAATGTGCCCTTGTTGTTAAGAAGGCCAATGGAATCCTGGGGTGCATAAGGAAGAGCTTGGGCAGTAGGTCAAGAAAGGACATTCTCATCCTCTGCTCTGCCCTGGTGAGGCCACATCTGGACTAGTATGTCCAGTTCTGGGCTCCCCAGGTCAAAAGAGACAGAGAGAATCCAGCAGAGGGCAAGAAAGATGACTGGGGTTTGGAGTATCTCCCTGCTGAGGAAAGGCTGAGAGATCTGGGGCTGTTCATCCTGGAGAGGAGAAGGCTGAGGGGAGACCTTCTTAATGCTTATAAGTATCTAAAGGGTGGGAACAAGGAGGATGGAGCCAGACTCCAGTACTTCAGTAGTTCCCAGTGACAGGACGAGGGGCAACGGGTACAAGTTGGAACATGGGAAGTGCCATTTAAATATAAGAAAAAAACTTATTTAAAGTGAGGGTGATAGAGCCCTGGGACAGGCAGCCCAGGGGTTTTGTGGAGTCTCCTTCTCTGGAGATACTCAAGACCTGCCTGGATGCAGCCCTGTGGGATGTGGTCTGGGTGATCCAGCTGTAGCAGCGGGTTGGACCAGATGATCACTTAGAGGTCCCTTCCAACTCTGACAATTCCATGATTCCCTAATTTGGAGCAGTGTAGTGCAGTGCCACAGGAATATTCCTGTGCAGTACTTCTCCTGGGAGAGCTATCATTTCACACAGAGCTCTATAGGTATTTAGGGCCTTGCAAAGTTCAGCCATTTCAAATCACACCTGTACAAGCACCATTTTTATGTAACATTGTAACTAGAATCACTTAGAGTTGCTGGAGCAGCAATAAACCTGTGTACAAACTGCTTCATTGTGTAACAATATGCAGAGTCCTTCCTCTGGCTATTCCTGAGTCTCACACAGCAAAAGGAGAGAGAAGGACATGTTAGAAAAGAAGATTATGTGAAAACACAACATGATAACTGAAGAAAGCCAAGGTATTTCAACAGCTGAAAAGACATTTTTCTTCTCTGTAAGTGATTTCACCTCCCGTAACTCATGTCCCTTAAAAATGGTATTGAATGACTCAGTGTCATGATGTAGCTCTTTTCTGAAATGGGTGGGAAGTCACCAGCTCCAGGGGTCAGGCTTTAGATTTTTGCATGCAGCAGGCAAGTTTTTAGAAACAAGGAGATTGCTTGTGTATCACAGAAATGCACTCACAACTTCTGCCCACTGATAAAACAGGGTGTGAAAGAATCACAGACTGGTTTGGGTTGGAAGGGACCTTAAAGATCACCCAGTTCCAACCCCCCTGCATGGGCAGGGACACCTCCCACCAGCCCAGGTTGCTCCAAGCCCCATCCAACCTGCCCTTCAACACTGCCAGGGATGGGGCAGCCACAGCTTCCCTGGGTAACCTGGGCCAGGGTCTCACCACCCTCAAAGTGAAGAATTTCCTCCTAATGTCTAATCTAAATCTTCCCTCTTCCAGTTTAAATCCACTACCCCTTGTCCAAGGTGATGGAGCCAAGTCTAGAGAATCCATATAGTTTAGCCATTAACCAGCAGGAAAGCTGTGTAATCTTCTAGGGGAAAAAAATAAATATTAATTTTTTTTTTTTTTAAAAAAAAAGGTATTATCTCTTAGCCACCAGGTGGTGCCTACAATTTGTCTGCCTTACTCAGAATTAAATCAAGTCGAGGGGACAGGAACAGCCACCAGTCACAGGCCAATCACAGCAACCACCCATAAACTGTAAAGGAATTACTCAAATTTATCTCATTTCCTATGCACAGTCTTTTTTCCAGAGAGGTGGTGGGACTGTAGCACCATCTTCTAGCTCAGGGGTACTCAAGAGATCTACAGAAAAAATCTCTTGATAATTCCAGGGGGTGCTCACCCTACTTCAGTCCAACCCCATCTTTCACTTCACTCTCCAGGGGTTCTGGATATACCTGCATCCTCCTTAATTCAGTCATGCTCCCCCCTCCACTTTTTTCTGAAGGAGAATATGTACAGGATTGTTTTGTGACTTCCCGTGTCTCAAGTACTACCTGACCAGGAAGATACTACCTAGAGATAAGGCAACAAAAAGGTAGGAGGGAAGGGATTCAGACTCTTCAGACCTCCCTGCCTGACAAGCCTCCATCAGTCTCAATTTAGTAATCAGAGCTCAGAGATTCCAAAATATGAAAGCAGACAGACCAGAACCACTGAGCAACCCCCCAAACACAGCCCTGCAGTTGACCCAGATCTCTTTCAACATCTTGGTCTGCATCCTCCACATGGGATTTCCTAGGCACGTGGGATTCTCCTTCTTAAAAATACTGCAAAATGCCTCCCTGGGGTGATGTAAACTTCTTGTTTCTACACTCAACTTCTTTGTTCCTAGGCTCAATTCATCTTCCACACTTGAATTACTTCCTGACAAGGTACCTTTCCACACACAATTTGCCTCTCTCCTTTCTTTGGAACAGAAACACCTGGTGCCAAATGGCTCAGTTGAATTTGCTCTGTTCTTTCTTGTCTTTCCCCAAATCCATTTTTCACATTGGTATGAATCTAACTGGTGAGACATTATTTTTTTGATCCCAGACATCTCAAGCCAGACTATTTTGAAAATTGCTGTTATGGGAACCAAGGCTGCTAAACAGCCAGAAAAAAATCCTGTTTGTATTTAGGTCACAATTTCTTTGCAGTATTGTGCTTGCTGTTAGTCTAGAGAAGAGCATGCAAAGAAAAAGAGGTGGTGGCTGGGATGGGCAGAGGGATCAGTGCCATAAATCTGACTTCAGACAAACCTCTTATCACAAAAGTACATAAAACATTCATTTCTCTGCTTCTCCTGGTCCCCAGTGCACTTCCCATTATTTTGCACTTCTAGTCTAAAATTCAAGGAGGGCTACTTGCCCTCTGACTCATTCTCTTTGCCTTCTGCTGTATTTTTCTGATGACTTCAAAATCCTTTCAGCAATTTATTGACCATAATGTCACATACTGCACCATTCTAAATGGAAGGGCATTAACAACTTGGACATTGATTGACAAAGTAACTTTTCACCTTTCTGAAGTCACCACAAAGCCTGTAAGTGCCACTTCTGCTGCCAAAGGTTTTCTTGGAGGTTTTGGTTGCTTTCCTTATCTCCATAGTTTCTCTTTGGAACCACAGACTTTGACCCTCTTCTATGCAGGCTGTGACTCTTCAGCTCAAGCCACCACCACTAAATTTCAGTTCAGGGAACAGCGAGACATGCTCTAGTCAAACAAGCCTCTTCCAGAGCATAACAACTTCATCTGTTTCCTTAGCTCTGGCTGCTTCTCTCTTCTATGGG